GTACAAGACCATGTGTCATACGAATATGCTCTTAGGGAAAAGAACAGAAGCTAAATGTTGCTGTAATTACCCATTTTTACTGGCTCGCTGCCTTGCTTAAAAGGTACTTTTGACCACTTACGTACATGTTTTGATTATACTGAATGAACTGTTCTGTGAACTATTTAGCAATATGTAAAACTCTAATCATATCCTTGACGTGCATTGAGTTTGACATTTGACCATAGATTCCAATTACATGCTGAGAGAGTTGTCTTCTAACTGTGGGTGGCAGTTGCATCTAGTACAATAGGCTGGGGGTACAGCTGCAGGCTCATCCTGTGTCAAGGGTGTTTTCCATTGTCTAAAGATTGTAGTGTTGCAATTCATGCAAGGGTCCCATTTTATCTAGTACTTTTGATTTCAGTATTGAGTGTCACATACTTATGCTTTGTAACGCATTCAGACCTGTACCTTGAAACAGGCTATTTGGAGGCATACTTGGAAGCTATTTGGAGGCAATGAGGGGTTCCTCATTGTCTAAAATAGTTTTCCTGTGTCAGCAAAATGCTGAATGATTCCAGCAATGGCTATGTCATATTGCAACATGCATGTATTAGTTTCAACTGAAACAATGGCACTCACAAGCTTTTTGTTATGGTTGATGAGGTTCACATAAAACAATAAACCTTTGCAGAAAGGTACTGAGTTAATATCCCTTCCAATTCCCATTTGGAAGGGTTAGTAATGCAGTTGGTAATGCACCTTTTTCTATTTTAATATTACATGATTACCATTCTGCATGTAACAGTCTCCCTCTGCCACCAGCTGATTTGATCCAAGGGGTGTAACCAGTATGTCAAGCTGAGTGATTTGCATAAATTGTCATTAGTCCCAATGGCTCTCTGATAGCTTTTGAAAGTCATTCACAACCATGAAAATCTAGACAGGATGCCTCCAAATAGCCTGGTTCAAGGTACAGGTCTGAATGCGTTACAAAGCATAATTATGTGACACTCAATACTGAAATCAAAAGTACTAGATAAAATGGGACCCTTGCATGAATTGCAACACTACAATCTTTAGCCAATGGAAAACACCCTTGACATAGGATGAGCCTGCAGCTGTACCCCCAACCTATTGTACTAGATGCAACTGCCACCCACAGTTAGAAGACAACTCTCTCAGCATGTAATTGGAATCTATGGTCAAATGTCAAACTCAATGCACGTCAAGGATATGATTAGAGTTTTACATATTGCTAAATAGTTCACAGAACAGTTCATTCAGTATAATCAAAACATGTACGTAAGTGGTCAAAAGTACCTTTTAAGCAAGGCAGCGAGCCAGTAAAAATGGGTAATTACAGCAACATTTAGCTTCTGTTCTTTTCCCTAAGAGCATATTCGTATGACACATGGTCTTGTACTCTAAAAATAAATCAATGTCATTAACTCTTAAACACAACCAGCCTCCTTACTAGCTAGAGTATAAAAAACAAACATTTTACTGATTAAATTAACTCAGTATCAATGGCACACTCATAAAAGAATTATAGTTTTTTGTTCTGACCTTACCTGCGCATTGGCTTTCCGTCCATGCACCGTGAAGAGAAGCCTTCACCCGACAATTCAATTCCTGACCTAAGGAAACAGAAGTACAACATTCAAAAGTGAAAGTAAGTCCTACTTTCTCTATTTATAATGACTCTTTAAGAACAATGTAACTGACCACACCCAAATAATAAGATGACTGAGTCTTTCTCCAGCTGGGAAATTTACAGAAAGATAAACAATGTCTTGGTTGCAGACAATAAGCCACAAGAAAATGTAAGCATCTTGCTAGCTATCAATTACAATATAGTTAGCATAGTGGTGATGATGTAGGCATACACACACAAATTCAGTAACCCGCACATCTCCCTGGACATTTGAAAATACTTTCTTTTTTTTTTTAAACCAAGGGAGGAAAGATTCTTTAGAACAGTGGCATTTTCTCTCTCACTCCTCAAAATGTGCCACACTATATTTATTCTTCACACATATGAAATTACCAGAAATGCACACAAGTTTAGCACCTATTAAGCACCACAGTGCTTACCTAAAACTGCACTGGAGAGTCAGTATCTGTTCAAGATCAAAGTTTGCATCTAGGACCTAAAGACAGCTTTGCACCCCACTCTCTTCTTCCCTGCAAGTAAAAGTCATAATATAGTGAGTGCCTCATAGACTTATATGAATCAAGCTGCTTGATGCTGTTTCTCAGTAATTCCACATAAGTGTACTTTTACTTGTTAACAGAAGTAATAGTTGCATATTCCTCGGTCATCCAAGCACTGATTTCTAATTCTAGTGTGGAGTATGTTTCTTTTTTCAGAGATATAAAACTTGATATTTTAAAGAACTAAATAAAATGAAGAAAGAAACTGACAGATGGTAAAAACAGTGAAACTGGCATTAGAAAAGCACTGCCAAATGAACAAAGGAAAAATAACAAAAACTCTGTTCAAAAACACAACATTTTTTCAGTCCCAAGTGTTACTTGGAATTTCAGGAGGTATGATAACCTCACTTCTCTAAGGAGTTTTTCATGCTTCTTTTCAAATAAAAGCCATCACGCCAATATCAAAACTAAATTTTATGAAGACACCAGATATTCCCTTCTGTACTGCAGCGTTTCATTGCATCTCTCATCAACATTTGAACTCAAGATGTGACAGCAACCACACCAACATTTCGTAATTCTCTCACATGTTCTTCCCAAGAAACACAAAGGACTTCACAAACAATCAGAGATGCATGACATGGCTACAAGACAGGAAAAAGTAGAATTATACCTATCTATGAGATTGGGCAAGTTCTGGGTTTGAAACAAAACTTCTAAATTGCAGCCTGGTGGTCAAGACAAAAGCAGGACTCAAAAGACCTGGGCTCAATTCTTAGTTATGGCTCAGCCTTCTGAGAGCCTTGGGCATAAGCCCTTTGCCTCAGCTCTTTCAGGGGGTAAAACTACCTCACTCACCCCTGCTAATGTTCAAGGCTTATTTTCCATTACTTTTGGTTCAGTATAAAATAGATTGCAAATGTGGATAAAATCTGCATGTGGTTAGACTGATAAATGCGTAGTGGGGTATTCCACTAACACACTATATAAATATATACGCAGGCTGAATATTTTGCCTAGGAAAGCCACCTTGTTTCCAAGAAGGCTTCAATTTTGCTACCTTCAGCATTGTAAGCTTCTCAAGCTAGCTGGCAGTAGGTGCACCGACTTGCTAATAAATGCAACCAGATTTGGAACCTGTTCCCAAGATGTGTTCGGAGGTTGGCTCTCACTGACTTCAGCACGAGGGGCAACATTTGGTCCCTCCTAGGATTAAGTGTCATGGGAAGCACTAAAGGGCTTCCCAGAGTTACAAGGCTGGTAGCCTCACGTGTCATGTCCTAACAGTGTACATTTAGATAAACGAGCATCTCCCCATTGATCCTCTGGCAAGAGCCTAAACAGAAGCTGTTGGCTGCACCTTGCAGGCACTTTGCACAAGAAAGGGAGGGAGGAGAGGCTGCCATATTAGCTCATCAGCACCTGGAGCATATGAATCCCCTTGAGAACATCGATTTAAAAAAAAAAGAATCGAGAGGGAACCTCTTGGCCCGTGCTGCCCCTGCACCCCAGACTTCAGGTCTTCAGCCCAATGAATCAGGTCTCAGGTAGCCCCGTCTGCTGCCCAACTCCCCTGGCTGTAACCCTGGCTCTGGGTGATGCACACACACGAAGGCACATGTAGGTATACAGGCACACACACACATGGATACACACACACACTCGTGTACACACAAGCACAGGGATAGGCATGCACACACGAGTGCACATGTAGGTATGCAGACACACACACACAGGGATACACATACACACACACACACGCAGCCGGGCCCCGCCGGAGCCCCGGCCCGAGGGCA